ATATTACATGTTGTAAAATATATCCAGTTGACAGGCTTAGTCTAGTGGTTTGGGCTTGCTATATGTTGCTATAGATCTCTTTTTTGATCCTCCTTAGTATCATGTTTTACTTTAAATTATCAAATAAGGTGACACATGTCACCACTTGATTTGAAGAAAAAATAAATTAAATAATTAAAATTAATAAAATATCATCAAATCTGATAATGACATGTGTCACAATCTAATTGGAGACTAAATTTATTGAATTGAATTAAAATTATGACTAAATTGAGAGAATATGTAAATATTGAGGATTAAATGTATAATTATATCAATTATACTAACGGCCACGTCAGCACTTATGTTAATTGTTAACAGCTAGTGGTAGTATTAAATGAATTTAAATAGTTGGATGACCTGATTGATAAGAATTCAAATATAGTAGTTAAAATGAAAAGAAACTATAGTTGGGTGATAACTGTTATAATTTACCCTATTTTTTGACGCGAGGAGAATAAGTGGCTGACGTGTTGGCTAAGAGTGCAAGGCTTGATAGTATGTAGATTACTTATCATGTTGTACCACATGGTTGGATTCATTTGTTGTTACATGAGGATATTGTTCACAGTTAATTTTATATTTTGTCGAGTGTTCCCATGGAACTCTTATATTTTATATTAATATGTGTATACTTTTTTTCCATTAAGGTGTAGGGAGATTTTTAACAATGCACGCATTAATATTTCTTTGTATATGATTACTTTTGAATGAGATCATACTTTTATATATATATATATATATATATATTGGACTCCCTCTATTTTTTTAATTCCGCTTTAATAAATTCCTAATTTTATATTGCCTATGTAAATGGAACATACCTGTAACATGTTAAGCATATAGATATATAAATGGCTCGTCTTGAGCCATTAATCAATAATCACAATAGTGATCATTCAAGGCACATCATAGTACACCCGTTTCATTTTGCCTTTTACCAAAATACCACTACAAGTTTCAAGAAAACTTTTATTCATTATTTTTTCTCTTTCTCCTTGAAAGACTCAATTCTTAAATCTTCTCTTGGAACTTTGAAACATCAAAACAAGGAGAAATAAGAAAATCAATATTTTTATATATTAACAAAGATGAATATGAAGAATTATATTCAACAAATACTATAAGATGATAGGGCTTTCTCGTCACATATAATAACCAAAGCTTAAAACCCTTTTTCAAAGCCTCGATAAGGGTTTTTAGGGTTTTGTTTTTAGATAATTCAGCATCAACAGTAAGATTTTGATATAACCAATAACCAATCAACAAAATAGAATAGCCTAATTACACACAATGATTGGTTATACTATACCCCAACATTACAAAGGGATAAGTTAGTACTATCTAGTCTATATATGAATCTGTCCCTTAGACGAATTGCAACCACATCGACAATTTCTTTAAGAATATCGTCAGCAGATCGGAAACGGCCCTGAAATAATCTCTGGTTACGTTCCTGCCACAAGAAGTAAATGAAGGCATTCCACGAGATCTTCAAAATGGCAATTAAGAGGGACTTTCCTTTCCAAGAGGAGCAAGCACGAGCTACCATTTCATCCCAAGTCAAAGCATAAAAGTTCATCCATTCATGTTAAGGATGGATTTCCATATACCAATAGCCAAGGAGCAATTAGAGAAAATATGATCTCTAGTTTCTTGATGAGTGCTACAGTTTATACATAGTCCATCCGTGTAAATTCCCATTCTTTCTAAACGATCTCTGGTTGGTAATTTATTTAAAATGGCCATCCAAGCAATCAAGCTATGCTTTGGAATATGCAAAGGATACCATATTAGACGCTGCCAAATAACCTTCTGCACTTGCGGTCGAATGTGCTCGCATATTTCCTTAGTACGCATGAAACCAGAAGCAAAAAAAGGAGCAGCAGTAGGTCTCAATTTCAGAATTCTTTTGAATCCCCAACTACCATTTGTTCCAGCCTCGAATTGCCAGAAATCCTGTCCTTTAACATTCCAAAATTAATTTTACATTCCGTAAACATTGTGTCTCGTAATAGTAAATATCCCTTTCTCTTGAACAGAAAACGGTAATTCTTCATCCCCGATGTTTCGTTTCACTCTCTAAGATCTAAAACCCTGATAATAATATCACTGGAATTCTATTTTCAGGGCTGCCATCACTTGTTGGCAGCAGGCCAGTCCGAAAAGATGGTATAAACGCGTGCTACTTAATAAGGCTCTTGAAATATTTTATAATAAAAATTAATTTTTTAAATTTGAAATGGTGAGAGATCTATAAAATCCTTTTACCAAAATTTGTTGTAGAAAACGATTAAAGATACAGTCAAAATCTTCGCTTGTAACTTTATCTGTCACTTTCTCGAGAATCAAACGGAAAGTTTGTTTTCTCTTTTTGAACGAAAATGTCGTTAAGGCACTGAGGTTTATATGTAAGGATGGACATAAAATTTTATGTTAGGGGTTAACCTCTAAAATTTTAGAACATGACAAATTTTTAAAATTTCAAGGGGACGGAAATAATATTTTCAATAAAAAAACACATAGAAAAAATCTAAAATATTTGATAATTTTAAAATTTTAGAGGGTGAATGCCCCACCTGCTCCCTTCAATTCATCCCTATTTACCTGAACAAAATTGAATGATATTCATGCATGGAGCCTCCAAATTTAAGGGCCTTGTGTCGTGTCACAAAATAAACATGCAATTGGATAGGCCTGGTTGGCGGATATTAGTTGGATTTGAATGATATTCGAGATTTAATCCTGTTCCTGTGCGGCTTTTGATTGAATGGAACTTGGAATGAGTCAATGCACATTAGAAGGGGATAGCCTGCATTGAACTGAGGATGTATGAATAGAGACCTACTTGTGATTTTATATTAAGAGATAAACTTATAAAATTTTAGTTTAATTACCAACTTAAAATATAAAAAATCTAAAATATTTGAGAATTTTAAAATTTTCAGGTGAACAACCACCCTACAGGGCTGGTTCTACAGGCATATTATTCCCCATGGAAATGGTGTCTGGGCCACTGCACCAGTTATAACGTACAGCATACATAGTACATGGAAATTAAGGGTTCAAATTGGATCTCAGTTCTCGTTTGAATTCTTTTATCCATCATTTCCTGTTTGAATGTCTCATAATATGCACCAACTTAAACATGTATATAAAGCTTGACTGTCATTTTCTTCATTTCCTTGGGTTAATAAAGGTGAATAGTTACGGGAGCAATATATCTTTCCAAATCTTAATAAAGTTCAAGAAAGAAATGAAATTTAAATATTTTAATTAACTTTTGCATGTAAATGTAGTGAGATGGAACATGGAAATTTCCAAGGTGAATTAGAAAAGATTAATAATCTTGACAAACCATTGGACAACAAATGTCTTTTTCTATCCAAAAGTGCAGATTCTAGGACAAGTTGATATCTTCCTATAATCTTTTTGACCCTAAAGTTAGAAAAAGTAACAATAAAAAAACATTAAAAACACTTTTAAAAATGTGTATTATAAATGAATTATTATTTCAATAGGTGGAAAAAAAACATTTCACAAACGAGATTATATTTAATATCAGTTGTATTACTTGCCTCAACAAACTAGTCATAAACTACACAAAATCCTCACAAAAATATCAAAAGATGCCTCAACAAGGTTCAATTGGAATGCCACATTCCTGTCTGGTAGCACAGAGATAATATGCATATAATTGACTTGCATTTTCTTTGGCATCTTTCCTCTGGTTAGTTCCATATTTGGTATAAACCCATTGGATGCATGTTGAATAAACAAGTCCCTTAAAAAGAGTGCTGTTGGAGTTGGAACAAGGAATTTTGATTAAGAAATTCATCCATAACCTTTATCCTAACGGGTTGGAAACAAACAGGCCCCAGAGAATAAATCAAATATCAATTTTACTAATACACAAAACATCACATCCTTATCAACCAACTCTGATAATCCTTTATTATTTTCTTAAACCATAAAAAAATCCATCTTAAAGGACCACTAGGGATCCGGCACGTGGTAAATTATCATCCCACCAAATTATTATTACGATAGAATAATGACAAAAAAACCTGTCAATCGTGCTTGTTAAAGATGGTGCAAAATGATCAATCACTCTGAAAAAGAATCTTGAACCCATAGTGTTCGTGAGCTCGGAAAGGTGTAAGAAAAAATGCGTACATACATATGATGATGTTAATGATCTAAAGATATGCATCAAACATCTATAGGTTACATGGAGAAGATTACAAGAGTCAACCAAATGTGGCTCTTAGCATTTACTGTTTACTGGTGCTGTGTAGGGTAAAATAGGGTTTCACGAAGAGTCGGCTGAACTGGAGATATATCTGTCTTGCTCGTCCCTTAGCTTCGGGAAGACTGCCATTTATTTCTCCAGATGCTTCTGTTTTCTGTGTAAACGAATATCACATTATGCCAGTAATTGCAGTCGATACCCATGCCATTTATCTGTCAAATGTTTATATGATTTACACTGCTACATTATTATAGACTTTCTGTTACATACACTACAGTAAAGAAAAATTACTTGAGAACAAACTATTAAATCTTTATCAAAAGTTCCTAGCAGAGTTATCATTATATATATTCATTAAAAGTGCTGGCTAGTACTTGCAATTAATGTTTGTTTCCTAAGAACTAAAAAATCTATACTCAATTCAGTCCATAATACATTTTACAGAAGAAAAACAAACAAGCGCAGACAAATCTTTTAAGGCTATATGAACTGGAATACACGCATCACCAAACAACCAAGAACCAAAAGTCCCCAAGATTTGCAGAGAACTTGGTCCCAACACTGCTTTAAAACTACCGAAGGGATACTAATGTAAATGCACATTAATGGGGGAGACATGTCTAGGAACTTGTTGCAGTAAGAGGGCAAGACCCAATAAGGTTTTTTTCGTGGAGCGTGAGCTTCTCCTCTCATATGCTTTGCCTTTTTTGGTGGAGCTTTAAACAAGAAACTGCAACAGCAGCTTCACAGTAAAACCCTAAAACATCTGGTCTCCAACTTCTCGAGAGCTGTTTTTAAATCCACTCAATATGTAAAACCAACAGCCAATTCGAACAAGAAAATGCAATACCTCGTCGGCTAATAATCACAAACTTATAATAAAAAGATACTTCAAAAGGCCAAAAAAATGTTCTTTAAAAGTATAAACCTCAGCCCTAGACTTCAGAAACAGCTGCAAAATTCTCCTCCTTGAGTGAAAAACGAAGCTTTCCTTTTGTATTAGTCGAACAATGAGATCGCACCGCCATTAAGAAGTTGAGACGATCTATATAATTGTCAACGAAGAACAAACAAACAAGTTAATAAAGCGATCATTATTTCAACATTAATACCTCGCCCACAAATTATTGATATATATAAAAGCAGTGGTCGTCGTGAAAAAACTGGATGAAAGTACTTTGGGTGTTGATAAAATAAAAGCAGAAGGAGCTCCCTTCAGTCCAATCACAGGAAGATTTGGATTCAATTTGTCTCCCGCATCATTCACTCATTTACTGGGTAACTACTTTCTGGCCGGTCCATTTTAACTCAGTATTTGGGTGAATGAGTCGGCAGCTAATTAAATCCCATCGCCACCCATGGGTGGACTGAAGAAAGCTCTCTCTTACATATTAGATCATCAACTAAAAGATAAAACAAACAAACAAAAAACAACTTAGAGAAAACCAGGCAAAAAATAATAAATCATAGAATATATGTAGAAGCGGTGAGACTTAAATTGCAGATTTCTGTGATACATAGATCTATGGAACCACTTTCACACTAATTTACATCATGCAACCCTAGAGAACTCCAGAAGGAAGAATAAGTCAGCTAGTAGAAATTTCTTCACTGTTACAAGTCAAAATGGATCACGGATTAAAAGTGAATGGAAGTAGAAGCTGTGTAAACAAGTGGGAGAAAGAGAGAAACGGCAGAGAAGGGAAAGGGAGATTAAAGAAAGCTACTATTCAAAAAGGAAGATCTTTGCACAAAGGCGAGTCAAATAAAGGGGATGGAAACTTTGGTCTTTAAGAAGAAGAATGAGAGAGGAGAGATTTATTTTCCCCCTTAGTTTTCTACTTCATAATGGTGGCAAGCAACCACAGCTCATGCACTTCGGTAACAAGGATATGGCATTATATAAGCTAAAAAGGAAAGGGATTAGTGCCCATTAGGATGTAATCTCTCTTTATATATATCTTCCAAAATATATGATATCAAAATTAATGCTTGAATTCATTCAACGATTTTTTATTCAATAATGAACTCGGGTTTAAATTTTAAATACCGACTAAAAATAAAAATTAAATTTATGGATAAACTTCACCTATGATCACTTGATTATAGACGAATTTCAATTTGACCATTGATCTTTCAAATTTATTAATTAAATTATTTAATTTTTTAAAGGTACCAATCAAGTTATTTATCGTTAATATTTAACAGAGAATGTGCCCTTATAATAAATTTTTTAGTATAACTACATATTTAATTCATATTATTTACGCATTCTATCAATTTGATTTTAATTTTAATTTGATTCAATAAATTTAATCAACTAATTACATGGTAAGTCATATGATTGAATGATTAAATTTAAATTCAATTTTTTAATTTAATAAATTTTTTTCCCTCCAATCAAATGGTTATTGATGTCATTCTCATGTAATCTATAACACGTGTTGACTTTAAATTAAAACTAGAAAATAAAAACATAATATGTCTATTCTAAGAGACGAATTCACAAAATGTAAGATTGCATTTTGAAATAACATTATAATTGTGTAATATTATTATGTGAATATTGTATATCATTGTTTGGTTTGTTTAGCAGAAATATAAAATTGCATTATTTTGTTTGAGGAATATAAGATTACTTGAATATATATTTTACCAAATTATCCTTTAAATATATATATGCTTTTTAAAAAAAAGGTTAAACTTTAATATTAAATTATAAATATTTGAATTAAAATTCATATAAATATTTTAATCGTTATACTATTTAATTTTTTAGAACAAATACATTTAATATATAATTAGTATATTAAACTTATATTTTCAAATAATTTTCATAGGCATCATATTGATTTATATAAAAAATAATATTATGATATTGAGTGGATAAAGATATTATTTTTCAATGTATAAGATCTATTTTTTAATAACTTAAAGATATATATTATTTTAAATAATTACATTTTTTACAATCATATTATTTTTCACCTCATAAAATTATAACTAATTAACATATTGAATATTAAAATTATAAAATATTTTTAAATACTCAAATTTATTAATATTTTACTAAATTAAATTCTTTGTATATTCTTATTATATTTATAATATTAAGTAAAGAACAAAAAAAATCGAAAAGGATGATTATAAAAAGAATTCATTAGTCTAGGGGTATTTTTATCGAAATTGATGAAAATTGTCTAATACCTTATAATTCGGAAGTAATGACATTCCTAATATTTTAACAAAAAATGTTATTATTGGGAAAAAATTATTCCCTGATAATAATATTTTCCCAGAACAAAACGTGAAAACTTAATTCCGAAAAAAAGTTATTCTTCCCAACCCATTAAATATTTAACCTTTATTCCCACACTCTTAATCTCTTTCTCAATATTAATTTCCACTAATTTTACACAAACTCTTATTCATATTCTTTAAATTTATTACTGCCATATAGAATTGTATGTGAGGCTCATACATACCGATCTCTTTGCATTATTAGTTATGAAGATGTACCACTTCCCAGCTTTACTATGTGATTTTTATATTACTATAATCTAAATTAAATATCATAGAATTAATTAATCTATACTTTGTCTTATTATATATACATAACCCTTATTTTAATTTGAACCCATTAAATAGCCTAAATAATTAAAAAATTATAGCAAACAAATAGTATCTTTATATAATTACTCCATATTATTAAAAGAATCCCGTTTCAACTTCAACTTCAACTTCAACCCCCACCCACTCCACTCCGCCCAAAATATAGTCTTCTTCTTTTCTCATTTGCAGACACACTGGTACTTGTTACTTCATAAAATGCTTGGAATTTAAAACAATACATTCTTTTGGTGTGGCATAGAATTGTTCATTTTATTATTATGTTTTAAAAAATAAAGTATATTTTATGATAGTTAATAAATTATTATTATCGACAATAATTATTTTATTTTAAAAAATAAAAAAAATATTTATTATTTTTATAGTGTAATGCGATTAAAAAATAATATATATTCAGAAAAAATAGACTTAATCATTAACAATAGACCTACATTTTACAAATATAATTATTTGAACTTAATAGGAATAACACATTTCTATGAATAAAATCGTTTGATAAATTCTAATAATAATATATGAGGCATATCCGACATTCAGATTGTTAGGTTTGAAAAGAAGCCACGATTGTTTTTGCTTCCAATTAAACATAAGCAAATCCAGAGATTCATCGATCTTTCCGCCTTCTCGAATTGAAACTGGAAAGTGTGGAATCTTCATCTGACATTAATTCATCAGTTCATAACATGATTTTTAATTTGTCAGAAAAACTCAAACTCTACGCTTTTCACACTGATGGATATTACAATGTAAAGATGTTTCGACTTTTCTTTATAGAGAAAACCCCTGAAAAGATGGCCACATAAACCCTAAAATATTCCTGGAAAACCTACAAGCATGCCTACTTTATTTTATATCAATTTTACTTCTACCAAATGTGTAAATATATTCATATTAATTAACCTATCTGCTAAATATACACAACTTGTCAAAACAGGGTTTCATTAATAGTAACCTCTTTTAGCACAAGCCTTGCAGAAACTGTAGAGAAATTGTGGTTCATAAATATATAAATAAACCAGAAAAACCAGTTAGCAGAGCTTTGTCTGAAATCGAAATCGAAAGTACAGGCTGAATCCATGATGTCGTGCATCGCGCACATGGCGGAGTAAAGCTCCCTTAATTATTCAACAAAACCCAGATTAGTTTATCTGTTAACGATCGAAACTCTTTTTTTTAATCAAAGTTGAAGCTGAATAACATTACTACTATTTTATTAGTGTCGGATTAGGGAAAGTCCGTAGGAACAGATATTAATTAGATCGCATGTACTTTGGTCGGTTTTATATTTAATTTAGACAAATAATCGAAACTCCCCCGTTAGCTCACCTTCACACATTAAACCGTAATTTCAGGTTATGGTCAGAAAAAAGGGTTTTAACAACCTTTGGCTTTTGAGAGCTGAAATTAACAGATCAGAAACAGCTTTAAGAGCACCGCATGCATGTGTTTGTAATTGCACCATTTTTGTATTTTAATTCATATAACTTTTACGGAAATCCTGAATGTAAAACATAAATATATAAAAAGAATTTAATATTTAATAAATACGATCATCAGTAACATTGTTAGCATATTTTTGGGAGTGGGACTTGTGTTTTTGTTTCAGTATTTTTGGGGTTTATATATTCAACAACTTGTGATGAAGCACGTGTGTCCCCATGGATTTTGTCTACATTTAACTGTTGAAAAGTCAAGGAAAACGGTGCATTAATGCATCGAATTCATTCAATGCAAATAGTCAAAAGTTTCAACTAATTTGTTAAAAAAAATAGTAAAAGCTTAAATTAGTCATTGTACTTTAGGGTATTTACAAATTAGTCCTTAAGACTTCGACTATAAATATTCTAGCTCATTTAGCTTCAAAACCATTCCAAAGCATTCTAGCTTTCTTCCAATACTAGAGAGAATTTAGAGAGTTTCTTGAGAGTTGTTTTCTCCTTTTTATTAAGAGAGAATTATCATTGTTTTCTCCTTGGTAGATCGAAAGAGGTTGTAATTCCTATTTTCTCATAGTGAAATTCTTCTACCGTTGCCTGTGGTTTTTACCCTAAATTTTTAGTGGTTTTTACCCTAAATTTTTAGGGGTTTTTCACGTAAATTTTGTGTCTCTTTTATCTTCATTTTTATTTTCTCAAATTATCAGTTGCGATTTTGCTCTATCCGATAGCCGTCTTCCGCAACAATTGGTATCAGAGCCAGATTAGAGTGTGTATATCTGCTTATTGTCTTTGTGGTTGCCACCAAAAGGTGGATTCTCCAACATAAGAAAGTAAGAAGTTATTACCCATTCTTTGAAGGTTCCAGAGAACTATTCACGATAGTGAAATAGTGGGAGCTATCTGTAAAAGAAGCTATGGCAACGAAATTTGATATTGAAAAATTCAATGGAAGAAATTTCTCATTGTGGAAATTAAAGATGAAGGCCATCCTGAGGAAAGACGGGTGTCTAGCAGCTATCAGTGAAAGGCCAGTAGATTTCACAGATGACAACAAATGGAGCGAAATGGACGGGAATGCTATGATAAACTTTCATCTGGCATTAGCAGATGAAGTATTGTCAAGCATCGAGGAGAAGAAGACACCTAATGAGATATGAGATCATCTCACCAAATTGTACGAGGCCACATCGTTGCACAATAAAATTTTCCTTAAGAGGAAATTGTACACTCTCCGGATGCCAGAATCTACTTCAGTGACGGAGCACTTAAATACACTTAACACTTTATTTTCTCAGCTTACATCCTTAAGCTGTAAAATAGGAGAACAAGAACGTGCTGAACTTCTACTTCAAAGTCTACCAGATTCGTATGATCAACTCATCATCAACTTGACAAACAGTAATGTCACCAGTCTAGTCTTCGATGACGTTGCAGCTGCTATTCTACAGGAAGAAAATCGGCGCAAGAACAAGGAAGACAGACAAGTAAATCTGCAACAAGCAGAAGCGTTGACAACGATGAGAGGGAGATCAACAGAACGTGGCCAAAACAGCAGTCACAAACATGGTAGATCAAAGTCGAGAAGCAAAAAGAATTTAAAGTGCTACTACTGTGGAAAGAAGGGTCACCTGAAGAAGGATTTTTGGAGTCTAAATAAAAACTCCAATCCACAAGGCAATACCGTAAACACTTCAGATGATGGAGACGCTCTATGCTGTGAAGCGTCAACCACCGTGGAAGGTAGAAAAAGATATGCATATATATGGCTCATTGATTCGGGAGCAACATATCACATGACCTCAAGAAGAGAATGGTTCCATCATTATGAACCTGACTCATGAGGATCTGTGTATAGTTGCAATGATCATGCCTTAGAGATCGTTGGCGTGGGAACCATCAAATTGAAGATGTATGATGGAACAATCAAAGTTGTTCGAGATGTGCGGCACGTGAAAGGCCTGAAGAAAAATTTATTATCCTACGGATTGTTGGATAATAATGCAAGCAAGATTGAAACACGGAAAGGAAACATGAAGGTGTTCCGTGGAGCGCTTGTGGTGCTGAAAGGAGAAAAGATAGCTGCAAACTTGTACATGCTGAAGGGAGAGACTTTGCTAGAAGCATAAGCCTCTGTTGCCTCATGTAGTTCAGATTCTTCAATGCTATGGCATCAGAAACTTGGACACATGTCAGAACAAGGAATGAAAGTTCTTGTGGAGGAAAAGCTACTTCCAGGCTTAACAAAGGTATCACTTACTTTGTGTGAGCATTGCATAACAAGTAAGCAGCACCGGTTAAAATTCAACACGTCAAATTCTAGAGGCAAAAATGTTCTAGAATTGGTTCATTCTGACGTATGGCAAGCACCAGTTACATCCCTAGGAGGAGCAAAATACTTTGTCTCATTTATTGATGACTACTCCAGAAGATGTTGGGTGTACCCTATTAAGAAGAAGTCAGATGTGTTTTTAACTTTCAAAAACTTCAAAGCGCGAGTGGAACTTGATTCTGGAAATAAGATCAAGTGTTTCAGAACAGATAATGGAGGAGAATACACAAGCGAAGAATTTGATGACTTTTGCAAGAAAGAAGGCATCAAAAGACAGTTCACAGTGGCGAACACTCCTCAACAAAATGGAGTGGCAGAGCGGATGAACAGAACCTTGTTAGAAAGAACAAGAGCAATGTTGAGGGATGTAAGCCTAGAAAAATCATTCTGGGCAGAAGCAGTCAATACCGCTTGTTATTTGGTGAATCGAGCTCCATCAACTGCAATAGAGCTGAAGACACCAATGAAGATGTGGACTGGTAAACCAGCTGATTATTCAAACCTCCATGTATTTGGAAGTATAGTGTACGTGATGTACAACTCCCAAGAAATTTCAAAGTTGGATCCAAAATCCAGGAAATGCAAATTCTTGGGGTATGCTGATGGAGTAAAGGGGTATCACTTGTGAGATCCCACTGCCCGCAAAGTGATCATTAGCAGAGATGTTATCTTTGTAGAAGACAAGGTAGAAAGAATGGTGTGAAGATATGATTGTTCCAATCAAATCTTCAAGTGGGAGATTGTTGAAAAGTCAAGGAAAACGGTGTATTAATGCACCGAATTCATTCAATGCAAATTGTCAAAAGTTTCAACTAATTTGTTGAAAAAAATGGTAAAAGCTTAAATTAGTCATTGTACTTTAGGGTATTTACAAATTAGTCCTTAAGACTTCGACTATAAATACCCTAGCTCATTTAGCTTCAAAACCATCCCAAAGCATTCTAGCTTTCTTCCAATACTAGAGAGAATTTAGAGAGTTTATTGAGAGTTGTTTTCTCCTTTTTATCAAGAGAGAATTATCATTGTTTTCTCCTTGGTAGATCGAGAGAGGTTGTAATTCCTATTTTCTCATAATGAAATTCTTCTACCGTTGCCCGTGGTTTTTACCCTAAATTTTTAGGGGTTTTCCACGTAAATTTTGTGTCTCTTTTATATCTTCATTTTTATTTTCTCAAATTATCAGTTGCGATTTTGCTCTATCCGATAGCCGTCTTCCGCAACATTAACAATAATTTACAGTATTTATTATCTATTTATATAAATATACAAAATTGAGACAAACACGCTGTAAATTGAGGTGTTAAAACCTTAAACATGCGTTTACGGCAAAAAGAAAAAAATGTAACAGGAAGAACTATTATTTTTTTCCTCTTCTTAGTATTAATAAAACAAAAAAAGATTTTTAATTAATTTATAATAAGTACAATATAATATATGTTAAAGATAACTTTTAACTATTTGAGAATGAATGTTTATACCTTTAACATTCATGGTGTTCAAACTCAAGATTTCAAAAAATATCAATATTTCTTTTACCACTGATGTTACTTGACTCGTGCAATGATAAATAAAGCTATATCTGGAAGAATAATATATAATTTGACATCTCAGAAAGTTTTATTTAAAAAATAATATATTTTTTAATAAAGTTGTATTATGTAGTTAGTGTTTTTGAAAGGCTTATTTTGTAGGGTACCTTCTTTGCTGGGATAGAGAATTTAATTTGGAACGTTTGCATCATTTAGGATCAAAATGAAATAAATGATTATAAGTGATAAATTATACTAAAAAAGTTATATTAATTTTATTCAAGAAAATGTGTGAGGTACGTATTACAAGCACGAGTTAAATGGACGACGATAAAAATATGTATGTATATAAGATTTTTTTAATCCATCTATAAGTGCATGTTTAAAAAAACTATATTTAAACATTTTAAAAACAATCTTAAATTTAGAAATCTCGTAATTAAACCCATTGCTTTTGAATATAAAAAAACTATATTTAAACATTTTAAAAAATAATCTTAAATTTAAAAATCTCGTAATTAAACCCAATACTTTTGAAATATCATAGACATGACTTGAATTTAATAAGACTCATATCAATATGATAGTAAAAAGATCATTTTAGATATAAGATCCCAAGTATTTTAGAATTAACAATTATCTTTGATTGCCGTAATAATATGAAAATGATTAAGTTTAAAATACATATTTGACAACTCAAAATCACCAAAATTAATTATGAAATTCTCTTACATTATTTATACATATATTTTTTAAATATTTAAATACAATATTTTAAACATATATTATTAAACAATTGAAGATAATATTTTATACACGCGCATCATGCTATCAACTCGTGCTCGTACTTCGATCATTAGACGTGTATCACGTGCATTTCTTCTCTAAAATAAAATCTGTACAATTTTTTAATATTTTGATTCCTTATATTTTTTCATTTTAATCCTAAACGATACAAACCATAGAAATCATGTGATTTATGCGACACACCTTTATTAAAAAATTATTTTCTTAAATAAAATTTTTAAGATGTCGAAAGGGTGTTATTTTCCTCTTAGCGTGTTCAATAAAATTTCAAATATTTTTATTGTTTTGTGGATAATTAATTGTTTTTAATAAAAATATTATTTTATTAATAATATGTCCGCGTACTTATTTTGATACTTTCTTTTATGCTATGCTTAGTTACATAAGTAATAACATAGTTAAAAGTTCTATTAGTAATATTTTGTAAAATAATTTATTATAATTAAAAAATTAGTATAAAACAAAATTAAAAATACGAGAAAAAGCAAAAAAATAGTAAATATTTAAAATATATAATATATATTGTTATGTGTCTAAATTAAATAATACGGGATTACGGGTGAGTAATTAAAGTATAAAGAAATACACAGTAGTGGATAATTAAAAGGGGGGGGGGGGATGTTGAGGGCATGTGCAAGCAAACGTCAAAGGTGAATATGATGGAGATGAAGAAATTATGTCGCCAAAGATCTCATCAGATTCTGGGTCACTTCACTGTCTTATCAGTTAAAATTAAACAAAAAAGGCTGTCTAATCAGCATGAGTGAACTGTACATGAGTTTCTCAAGGTAAAATCGATGGATTAATACCCATTTAATAGGTATTTACGTAAACGACACTTCAAAATTATTTAGAAAAAAATAGTATTCTTGATAAAGCTGTGTTATGTAAGCTCCTAATAAATTTTGCTCTTTTTTTAAAGTAAAAGAAATATTATTTTTCCTAAAATACTACAGGTACATGCCATCCGGCCCAGGGACAATAAGAGGTCAATCGAGGAAAAAGTTGCAACCTAAAGGGCTATTCCTGATATTTCCTGTTTGTGGAATATGAATAGCTATATCTATTGTTCGATGAAAACGATCGAGATCAATTCATTTACGTGTCGCCAATGATGTAGTGTCATCGTCTCTCAATTAATCGAGGAAAAATGAATATTTTTTACTTGTAGTATCTAGGATATTATAATAAACGTCATCGATACCATCAATGTTTAATCAATGAATGTAAATAGGCCATTCATCGAATATGATTTACCTCTTCCAAATTCAAAACAGTGTTACCATATAATCAGTACCACCAGGTTTAATATTTACTTCATATGTATCATTATTACCGAATGATGTTCCTATATCAATATTATCACAGTCAATCCAACCAACAACGTTACATTTAACGGTGACATATTATGAATTGTCGTATTTTACATTAAATATTTAGATCTTTCTATGTAATCATTTAACCTTTTGATATTGATCGTTCAAACTTTTGACATCTATAACGTTCAAACTTGAATCTTGTTCAACATGCCTCTCCCCCTCTCCTTCCTCGAGATATCGCCTCAGCTCCTTCGGCGGTCGGAAATCCAACTTAGCCTTTTGCTTTAGTTTCATTTTCTATTAAAAAAAGATTATTTTCAAAGTGGTCACATATATATTAATATTACAAAAAAATTGTATAAAACAAAGACAAATAAAATTTTATGATAGATACATTCTCATTCCAAAAATAAATTACATATATGTCCAAATTATACTGCTTTTCACAAATAGGTGTTTAGTTAAATTATTTTTTTGAATTATTCAAGTGTCTAACGTTAAAATCGTTTCCATTTAGGTGTCCGGGATGTAACTACCATAAAAAATTTCCATTAATAAACACTGTCACGCTCATATAATTTTGAAATAATTTTTAAAAATAAAAATATTATATCTATAAAAACCCTATTTTTCTAAAATTACAAAAAAATCCCAAATCCTTACACTGACCCTAACCCCAACCACAACTCCACATCCGTTTCCGACCACGACCATTGCCTCCAATGCCTTCCTTGCCATCTCCATAGTCGAACAATGTTGTGGAATTGCGATGGTCGTCATTTTGTCGCGTCATCACCGTTTCATCGGGGTAGACTTTGTCACGAGTTTAGGGGTCTTCAGTTATTGTTATAGAGGTTGTTCGTTAGATAACTGGTCTTCAGTGGAGGCATTACCAGATGGAAGTCCAATATACAACAATGGTGACAACGAGTAGCAGGGGACATGGATATAAAGATTAAATTTAGGGTTTGTAAAGTTTGGGGGAGTTTATAAGATTTTTGAAAACTTTGAGCTTTTTTTAAAAAAAAATTATTTTAAATAAAATTT